CTCGGCCCCGTCGCCCCTGCTCGGCCCCGTCGCGGCCTATCGGCCGCGTGGCGCCCGCCCGGCCCCTGTCGCGGCTGCCCGGCCCCTGTCGCACCTGCCCGGCCCCTGCTCGCCCGCCCGGCCCCGTCGCCCCTGCCCGGCCCTGCTGTGGCCTGCCCGGGCCCCGTCCCTGCCGCCCGGCCCCGTCGCAGCCGCCCGGCCCCGTCGCAGCCGCCCGGCCACGTCGCAGCCGCCCGGCCACGTCGCAGCCGCCCGGCCCCGTCGCCCCTGCCCGGCCCTGCTGTGTCCGGCCCGGCCTCGTCCCTGCCGCCCGGCCCCGTCGCAGCCGCCCGGCCCCGTCGCAGCCGCCCGGCCACGTCGCAGCCGCCCGGCCTTGTCGCTGCCGCCCGGCCCCGTCGCCGCCGCCCGGCCCCGTCGCAGCCGCCCGGCCCCGTCGCCGCCGCCCGGCCTTGTCGTGCCTGCCCGGCCCCGACGCACCTGCCCCGGCCCTCCATACTTCCTGGTACTGTCCCCCGTTCCCCGCACCACTTTGCACCCTCCTGCACTTTCCTGCCCCGCCTTGCATCGCATTGCACCTCCCTGGATCGCACTAACCGCACTGCACCGCACTGGACCGCACTGCACCGCACTGCATCGCACTGCACCGCACTGGACCGCACTGCACCGCTCTGCATCGCACTGCACCGCACTGCACTGTCCTCCACTGCCCCTCATGGCTGCTGAGCTTCGTTTTGATGTTGAGGGTCAGCCTCTGGAGTTCGAGGCGTGGTTGGCTGACCTTCGCCGCCACCTCACTGGCCAGCGGCAGGACGGCTACCCGCTTTCTGCACACCTAGACGGTATGCTCCCCTGCCCTGACCCCCCTGCTGTGCTGCCCGCTGATCCCACGCCCGCTGAGCGCGAGTCCACTGCCGCTGCTGCCCTTGCCCGCTCTGTCTGGCTTTCCCGCGATGCCCTTGCTCAGCTCGCCATTAGCAATGCCCTCCCCCCCACTGAGCGCCCTCGCTTTAGAACCATTCCTACCGCCCAGGCCTACCTCGATGCTGTCATCAAGCGCTATTCTACCCCTCCTGCTGCCTCAGTGGGTCGCCTGATCCTTCCCCTGCTCTTTCCTGACCTGACGTCTTTCCCCACTGTCTCTGACCTCGCTGCCCACCTACGCTCGATCGATGAGGCCTGGCGCGCTGCCTGCACTGATGCTCAGCTTAGAGTCCACCAGCCTCCCATGACCTCTACCCTCTACCTCCTTGCCACCCGCCTACCTGACCGCCTTGCCGCCGCCCGCGACCAGTTCCTTAGCATCCACCCTGCTGCTCTCACCCTCACCGACTTTGTTGACACCCTGACTGCCATAGAGACTCGTCACCGCTCCATAGCCCTGGCGAGCGGTACAGTACCGGTCCCTATCTTTCAGGGTTGTGCCCCCGCTCAGTGTACCTTCTCCGACGGCTCTGTCGCTGTGGCTGAGACTGCTGCTGCAGTGCAGTCCCGCTCGGCGAAGGGCCGCCGCCCCAAGGTTGGGAGCGGCGGAGGCGGCGGGGGTGCGGGTGGGGGTAGTGGTGGAGGCGGGTCGTCCGGTGCCGGTGCGGACGTGGGGACCCTGCCCGGTCCAGCTGCCCCGCTGCCTCCACAGTTGCAGCAGCCGCAGCAGCAGCAGTCGCCGCAGCCGCAGCCTTCGCAGCAGCCGCAGCAGCCGCCGCAGACGAGGCAGGCGAGTACTCTCCCACCTGGGTGGCCTGGAGCTGGTGGTCGTCGTGCGCGTGGTGGTGCACCGGGTGGTGGTTCTGGAGGCGGGCCCTGTCAGTACCAGATCCAGACCGGTCCTCGCCGCGGCTTCGTTTGCGGTAAGATCGGTCATTCTACTCCTCGCTGTTTTCGTCGCCTGGACGACCTGTTCCGCCAGCGCTTTGGCCCGGCGCCCGACCTCCCGGACTGGCACAGCTTGCTTAGGCGTAGCATTAGGATTTTTGACTTGGACATGGATGCCATTGTAGCGGCCTTGCATGTGATGTATGCTGATGACTCTAGTGTGCTTCCCTCTTATTACCCCGTGTTGCCTAGTGTAGCGGTGCCTAGCGTAGACTCCCCTGCTGCGTCAGGCGTAGGATCTCCTGCTTTGCTTAGCCTTGGTGCTTCCACCGCTTCACTGCTGCCTTGCGCGACTGCTGCGCTTTCCTTCACCTTGGACTCTGGCGCCTCCCGGTGTTTCTTCCGCGACTCCACGACGCTGACGCCGCTGCCTGTTCCCGCTGCAGTTACTCTTGCTGACCCCTCCGGTGGTCCCGTCGTTGCCCGCAGTTCCACCTCCCTTCCCTGTCCGGCGGTTCCTTCGGGCACTCTCACAGGTCTGCATATCCCCTCGTTCTCCAGGAACCTAGTTGGTGTCGGCTGCCTCCAGGACCTTGGCGTCACCACTACGTTCCCTGGTCACGAGCGGTATGCTGTCTGTACCGAGGCCGCCACTGGTGCCCCCCTGTCCACGTTCCCCCGGGACCCAGTGTCCGGCCTGTTCACTCTGGACACCGTGACCCCGCCGGCTGGAGCGCTCCCTCAGGTGGCTGCGTCTACCCAGGTTGCTGCTGCCTGCTCCTGTCGGTCCCTCACTCACCCGACTCTCCTTTGGCACCACCGCCTAGGTCACCCTGCGCTCCCGCGTCTGCGTCACATGTCCCAGCACGGTCTCGTCCTTGGTCTCCCCGGTTCGTTCCCCGAGTTTCCCTCCTCCCCCGCCCCACCGTGCACGCCTTGTGTCGAGGGCCGGCTCCGCCGTGCCCCTCACTCCTCCTCTTTTCCCCCTACCACCGCACCACTGCAGACTCTGCACATGGACGTCTGGGGCCCAGCCCCGGTCCATGGGCCGCGTCGCGAGCGCTTCTTCCTAGTGCTTGTCGACGACTTCACGCGCTACACCACCGTCTTCCCCCTGGAGCGGAAGGCCGACGTGCCTGACGTTCTCATCCCCTGGCTTGTCTCTGCTCGTGTCCACCGCGGTCTCCCTGCCTTGCGCCTTCACTCCGACCGGGGTGGCGAGTTTGCCTCAGGTGTCCTTGGTCGCTTCTGTCGTGCGGAGGGCATCACCCAGACGTTTACCCTGCCGGACTCCCCGCAGCAGAATGGGGTCGCTGAGCGACGCATCGGTTTGGTCATGGAGGTGGCTCGCACCTCCATGATCCACGCCGGTGCACCCCATTTTCTGTGGCCGTTCGCCGTGCGCTACGCCGCTCACCAGCTTAACCTGTGGCCGCACCCTTCGGGTGCTGCTACACGTAGCGGCTCAGCGTGACTACGAGCTTCACTCCCTCGACTTCTCCACTGCCTTTCTTCAGGGCAGCCTTCACGAGCAGGTCTACCTGCGTCGCCCTCAGGGCTTTACTGGCACCTTCCCCCCTGGGACCCAGTGGCTTCTGCGGCGGCCAGTCTACGGCCTGCGCCAGGCGCCTCGTGAGTGGCACGACACTTTGCGTGCTACCCTTGCTGACCTGCAGTTCTTTCCGTCCTCTGCAGACCCCTCGCTCTTCGTTCGTGCTGGCTCGACTCCGTTCTACATCCTCGTCTACGTAGACGACCTGGTCTTTGCCACTGCTGACAGGGACGCACTGGCCTCCGTGAAGGCAGAGCTGCTGAAGAGACACACCTGCACTGACCTTGGAGAGCTGCGCCGTTACCTTGGCTTGCAGATCTCCAGGGACAGAGCCGCGCGCACCATCACCCTGACTCAGTCACACTTGGTGCGCCAGGTCCTTCAGAGGTTCGGCCTTCAGTTCTCCTCCGCACAGCCCACCCCTCTTCCTCTGGACCACAGACTCTCCGCTCCAGTTCCTGAGGAGTCGGTAGATCCCAGTGGTCCTTACGCTGAGCTAGTGGGTTGCCTCATGTACCTGATGACTTGCACTCGCCCAGATCTCGCATACCCTCTCAGCATCCTGGCTCGTTTCGTGGCCACAGGCAGACACCGACCTCAGCACTGGTCTGCCGCTAAGAGGGTTTTGCGTTATCTTGCAAGTACATCGGGCATGGGGTTAGTGCTAGGCGGACGCAGGCCAGTGGTCCTTACTGGACACACAGACGCTTCTTGGGCAGACGACGCCGAGACGCTCAGGTCTTCCCAGGGCTACTGCTTTAGCCTTGGCTCAGGTGCTGTCTCGTGGAGAGCTACCCGCTCCTCGTCTGTTGCCCAGTCCAGCTGTGAGGCTGAGATCTACGCCGGTGCCATGGCGGCACAGGAGCTCCGCTGGCTGACCTTCTTGCTCACTGACTTAGGTGAGCGGCCTAGCTCTGCCCCGGTCCTGTACGCTGACAACAGGGCCATGATCCTCCTGTGTCAGGAGCCTCGACTCGAGGGCAGAGCGAAGCACATCCAGCTGCGGTACTTCCTCCTGCGTGAGCTACAGCAGCGTCGCCAGGCTCGCGTAGTACACTTAGCCTCCGGTGCCAACACAGCTGATATCTTTACGAAGGCGCTTGCGCCTAAAGATCATCAGCGGCACTGTGTACAGCTTGGTCTGGTTCCTGTAGTCTCTCACTTACTCGGGCCTTGACTTTGTACTGCCCTATATATATCTGTGTGTACACTCAGACTGGACTTGTGTCCTCTTACAGTGGTTGGACTAGTAGTGCCGCCCTGTACTAGTTCTTGCCTTGCCTGTACTCCTTCTGACTGGTCTTTTAGACCCTTGTCTCAGAGGCTGGACTAGTAGTGCCACCCTGAGCTGCTTGTCTAGAACATTCCCCTATGCAGTCCAGGGGGTGTGTCAAACATGTTTAGTTATCATGCTTGTATAGACTGTATAGGGTCATCTTCTAGAGAGTACAACTGTTAGGTATATGTTTGTGTACTCTCTCTCTCTATTCATCAATTTCACTGTTTGATAGGTACTACTGAGTACTTCTGACATTCCCCCGCTGTTTACTGAACCTAACCGACGACCCTGGTTAGGACTGTTTGCGATTTTATCACCGAACTGTTGTAACTTCGTGTCCGTGGGGGTTGGGAGGGGTGCTACAATGGTTAATGTGTATTTCTGTACTCAAACACAGGGCATCAACAATCAGCAACAGGGATCGCACCCTTGGTTCCTAGCATACACAACACTATGCATCACCACTCAGTGAGTGGACCTCGAGCCTCATGGCGATATTTACAGCCGTGCCACACCTTGAGAGCTGATTGCCGATGCCATGCATCCCTAACTACGCTCTGGTGGAGATGAAAACGTGGCTCCGAATTACACAGGCGTGCATCCAAGGTGGACGGAGATGCTACCCCTGGTGAAACGAGAAAAGAACGGAAAGGAGGCAAATGAGACCACCATTACAATTATCTTACAGACGAGAGTCGGATAAGAGATGTCAGCTTGCGAAACGTTGTTACGGGATTAAGAATTTACCGGTTGGAGTGCGCGTTGAATGTCTTGGCGTCGTTATAGGCCCAAATCATGTTGTTGTAACCCGTGTACTTGGGAGGAGCCACACCCTTCTTGCCTGTTTTAACCGTGAACCTGAAATGAACCGAAAACCACGGATTAGTACAGTACTACTAGCAGGAGCGAATACGAAACGTAGGGTGACACGACGTGCAAATTAACGCTTGGCGATCGTGTTCGGTTTTCGCACAGGGGAGCAGATGAAACTCACTTGACGATCAAACCGTCAGCGTTGGAAGCCACAGATTTCGCAGAGAGCGTCAAGGCGCCCGTCTTCTTATTCTGACTCAGAGCAGTCTTGCTCTTCAGGTTGTAAGCCAGCACGTTGTTCGGCGCGGCGTTCGCAAGATTTCCGACGACGACATCGGCGGGCATCATGAGATCCTTCTTCTTGGTCCAGCCGACGGAAACCCAGCCCGTCTCGCCGCCACTCCCGGTCTTGGCCTGAATGGCTGCGACGATCCCCTTCTTGTCCTTGGTGACGTTCCAGTGGAGGAGGAACAAACTGGAGGGGGATAGAATAGGGGAATCGACAGTGGGAAACGGGGAGGGCGAGCTACTAAGCTGAGACGAAATGGCAGGAATAAAGGTCGTCCATACTGCTGCGCCCTCGAAGGAACGAGGCGAGAATTAACCGGCGCAGGACGTCGCACGGAGGGAGCCGCACAGCGACATGATAGAGTTCTGGGTTGATAATGAGAGAACGTTCGAGACTAGAACTCATCGAACGCCAGTAACGCGTTTTTTACTGTCGTACCCATCATTAGTGAGCTTGACTTGCTTGGCGAATCCGTTTAAAGTCGACGCGTCGCACGTCGGGGGCGGCGCGGTGACCGCCACGGCGTAGTGGCGCGCGAACGCGCTGGTCGCCGTAGCGAGGAGCAGAATGGCGAGCGATGCCGCCAGGAGGGAAAATCGGGACGAAGCCATGGAGTCAATTCGAGAGTCGAGACTGGATGGATGCGAGAGATGATACGAAGCGTTGGTGGAAGGTGCAAACTAGTGGGATGTGTGAGCTGGCGGGATGTGTGGATGGAGCTGGTGAGTTGGTGGCTGAGTCGGATGAGAATTTTGCAATAAGCTATGGCGGCCTAAATAGGAGTTGTGGCAGTGAGTCGAGTGACAGTGGGTGCGAGTTTCGCTGGGTCTGGCTGGCTGGCTTTCTCCTGCTCCCCAGACTTCTCCGAACCGGATTCCCCCCATTCCCCTTCTCCCAGACCATCCCCCAGCCTCTGCCGCACGCTCCCCCAACAAGGTTCGGACATCCGCTGCGGCGACCCAACCAAACTGGTGGTACCTATCGAACGAACCGAGCCTAGCGGTGTGAAGCTCGCCGGTTCAGCTCGTCCGCTGTGTGACGCTGGTTGTGCCTTGCCCCAGCTGCCTCGGCCCGCGCACAGCGCACACACACACCTGCACAGTGCACAGACGCATGCGCTGCGGCAGCGATGGTTTGTGTGGTTCGCGCGGTTGGGCAAAGCAGCATCCAATTGGCGCATGAATTCCCAAGGTGAGTCAGGAATGAGGATTGTGCTGAAGGTGAGTCATCACCTGCGAGACTTCCTACTGGTTTGGGGTCACCGACCAGGGTGGATGTACCCACCTACTCACTGGTTCGATGCAGGCCTCTCGCTAAGCCCTAGGGGATTCCGTTAGGGGACGGAATCGACCCAGAATTACCCGTTAACGTAGGGAATCTACAGAAAACTACCCGTTAGCATACGGATTCTCTGACGAGCTACCCTTCGTGCTATACTACTGTTCTCACAGACTGAGAGCTTTCGCCACGACTCAGAAAGAGGCGAGGAAGATTCAAGGTGTGCTGTGCCTTAGAAAGTCGGGAGAGTGGAAAATTTTCTGCTCGGCTGTCTACAAAACAGCAGGTGAAATTTTAGTGCACTCTTGGTGAGGAACTGGAGGGGAGATGGGGAGAAGCGGGTGTTAAAATACAGTAAGAACGGAATCAAAAGAAAGTAGCCCGTAATGTTAAGGAATCACATGGAATCCAATCCGTTATGTGGACGGAATCAGGATATTTTAACTCGTAAAAAAAAAACGGAATCCAGAGAAAAACAACTCTTATTTTCTCGACATTAAGGGTGATTACCCTTTTAGAGAGAAGCCTGGCTCGATGATATTCCACGAGTTTCAACGTGCGATCCGCCAACGGGATCCCAATTCCAACTGTACCGTAACGCCTGAGCTGGAAATGGGCACAAGAAATGCACACGCCAACTTCGAAGAAACTCGTGGTCGGTCGGTAGCAGGGCCTGAGCTAGGTTTTTTGCTAGCTCGAACGATTTTGGGCCATCCGGAAAAGCCCCTGTAAAACCCGAGCCGAGCCGAAAGCTGCTCCGATGAATCAGGGTCCGAGCCGAAAAAGGCCTGAGCGCCACCAATTATTGCGGGGTGGGAAAAAATGTGCCCACGCCACTACTTCGGTAGGGCAATCGGTTTTGGCCTCGCTCCTGCAGGGCCACGGCCGAGGGGAAGAGGGGGAAGGGGGTCACTCACCACCCAAGACGGCTACTCAATCTGTAAGTGATACATAGTAACATAACCCCGGGTTCCAGCAAGGCGGCTCCCGAATGTACCGGGCTTAGAGAGGTGTGGGGCATGATTTTTTGGAGGGGGGGGGGGGGGGGGAATTGGGGAGGGCGGCGAGTCTGGGCGGGGGCAAAGTTGAGGCCAGAAAAAAAGGGGATTAGAAGTGTTTGGTGGGGGGGTTGGGGGGTGGGGGGGTGTGTTGGCGGGGAGGGGGAGATGGGGGGAAGAGGTTTGGAGAGGGGAAAAGGTCCGGGTTGCCCTGGAATTCCTCCGGATATATACGGGTCCTACGAAATTTCTCCCTGTGTAATTCCTGGCTGGCTGAGGAAAAGTCTATGTGAAATACGTGCTACGATTAAAAACACCTTGGATTTTCAGTCAAGACAGGGTGATAGCCCTATTATTTTCAGCCCTGGTCGGTACGGTGTTGGTTAGTTGGTGTGTGTGTGTCGCTCGGCAGATGCTGCCGTCACCAGCAATAGGAGAGGATGACACGGACCACCGACACGCCGGCTGCATATATGTCCTCTGTATAACCTGCTTCGAATTCACTGTATGATAGGCAGAAGCATTTTTCCCCTTTATATGGTTTACGTACTTTCAGCATTTCTTAGAAGTAATAAAGTGAACAAAGATGGTAACTATCTGTCATGGGGTCAAAGATTCTACAGTAGTAGGTGACATCCTAAGCACGCTACCTAAACTTCCTTATACGTCTCACCTTACACAATACGTCTCTGAATCTCTCCTTGTTAGCCTTCGATTTTCCGCGGTCCCTTCAGCGTAGTCCTCCCCGCCGCGCTCCGTCTATTGGATAGCCATGGCCGCTGTTCCTTCCAGCGTGCCACGTCGGCTCGTGGTAACGGACGCGCCCGTGATTTCCTGTCTAGTCGTCGCCGATTTCTGCAAGAGCGTCGGCGGCGGCGACGCGTTGGAATCGGCGATCCAGTCGACAGTAGTCGTCACGAACGCCAGACAGGCCGGTGCGTGTTAGTAGGAGATGAGTGGCTACTAGTAGATGGGTGCGGGTCGGTCGTAATTGCATGTGCGTGCGTCGCGGACGCCAGACAGGCCGGTGCGTGCATGCGGGAGTATTCGCGTGGTGATGCGAAAGATAAGGCGTCGTCTCGGTGGAATCGAGCGACATAAAAGCGTTCTTCGAGTTAGATGGGAGTACATGAGTACCTCGTGCACACGATTTCGCCTAAACTACCTCCTCACACGATTCGCTGACACGATCTTGCTGACACGAACTGGCTGACACGATCTCGCTGACACGATTTCGCTGACACGATCCCGCTGGCCATTTCATTGTTCCACAGATTCCAAGAAGCTTCCATCCATAGCCTCAGGGTCCCTGGAGTCCGTTCTCTCCATCGCGGAGCGCCCGGGCCACCACGACGCCACGTGTCTTTCTGAGCTGGCACGCGTGCTGCAGCCCAACGGCACGCTGCTGCTGCAGGAGCCAGTCGCTGCCAGATCAGCTGCTGCAGTGGAGCAAGAGGTGAGTGACTGAGATCAGCAGAACTCTTTAACGAGTACACTAGCTTACGGCACGCTGCTGCTGCAAGAGCCAGTCGCTGCCAGATCAGCTACTGCGGTGGAGCAAGAGGTGAGACATTGCAGCTGTGCAGCTGCTAGGTTTTGCAGGGTGATTTTTTAGGATTCTAAAAAACAACCTGCAATGGAGCTGTGCAGCTGCTAGGTTTTCTTTTTGTAATTTGTTTTCCGTTTCCGTTGACCCTATTTCGTTGTCCCCTGGTCTGTCTCACCCCAGAGTTTGTCCAGACCCCAATCCATCCCAACATTAATGACTGCCCTTTTCCCCGTCATGACCCCTCCCCAACTCCCTCCATCCAATCAGCGCCTGCCCTCGTCACTCTCGGGATCACCACTGCCCAATCAAGCCGCGCTGGAGCGGACACTCCTCCTATCAGGCTTCGCCACGTGGCAGGCTGTGAGCTCCGTGGCTGGCGTGGGATTGGCTCCTGAATTCACGGGAATCACGCCAGCAGCTATCGGATCAACTCAAGGCCCACTCCTAGTGCCTGTCACGGTAAGGCCTCCTGGCCTCCTGGCCTCCTCCTCCTCGCCTCCTCGCCTTTCCTTAGTTTTTTTTTGGGGATTTCTTCCCTCCTCTCTTCTCTCTTCTCTGCTCTCCCTTCCCCTTTCCTCGTCCTTCCCCCTGTCCTCCCTGTCCCCCAAAATTCGAGGGAATCACGCCACCAGCTATCGGCGCGACACAATGCCCTCTCCAGGTGCCTTTCACGGTGTGGCCTGGCAATCTTTCGGCTGATCTTATCTCTCAAGTGGTCCTTGTGATTTCTAATCTTATCTCTTCTCTCTCATCTCATCTCTCTTCTCTCTCCCCTTAACCTCACGCCCCCTCTTCGCTCCCCACTGGCTTTACAAGTATCACAAGAGCCAAGATTGGATCGACTCAAGGGTGCAGAAATCCTCCTGACAGGCTGGATCCCTCTCTCTAGGAGGAAAGCGAAAATCGTTTTTCCTCCTTACCTAACAAACTTTCGCGCCCAATCTCTCCTCTCCTCTCTTTTCTTCCACCCTACCCGTTCTTCCCCCTGCGCTTTCTGCTCAAGGCCCAGAAAACCACCTGGCGAACTGGTTTCCTTGTTCTCGTTTGAATAAAGACACCTTTCTCCCTTCATTTCTCTTTCCCCCCTTTGGACCTCCCTTCTTTCTCCTCCTCTTGCTCTCAGCTCAAGGCTCAGAAACCCGCCTGGCAAACCGGCTCCTCCTTTTCCCTCAAGAAGAAAAGCACCTCTTCCCAAGCCGCTGCTGCTCCTGCTGCAGCGCCTGCCACGTCAGCAGGGGTGCCGCTCCCCGCTGCTGCCACGTGGCGCGTTGGTACTGGAGGAGCGGGCGAGGAGGACGATGAGCTGGTGGACGAGGATTCGCTGCTCACAGCGGAGGATCTCGTGGCTCCTGCTCCTCCCCCACCCAGCGCTGCTGCAGGTAAGAAGTTAGCTTGTGAGTGTGTGTACAGGGAGGCTGCCAGTCCGGAGCGCATGCATGCTCATATGCTCACAGCAGGCGAGGAGGGGGGCGATGAGCAGCGCTGCGGCAGGTAAGAAGCTAGCTTGTGAGTGGCTGTTTTGCGGAGTCTGGAGCATGTCCGAGCACACGTGCAGATGTGCACATGTGCTCACAGCAGGGGAGGAGGGTGGTGAGCTGGTGGATGAGGATTCGCTGCTCACAGCGGGAGACCTCGTGGCTCCTGTGCGGCCTCCTCTCAGGTCAGGGCTGCTGCATGTACTGCTGCTGGAGGTATGGTGCTTTTACCACTGCAGCACTTTTGTAGGCTGTGGCATGGCCAAGACCGCTTGAAAGGCGTGCAAGATCTGCACGTGCGGACGGGCTGAGATGTGCTGAGGCACCATAAGGCACTCGAGGCCCCTGCCTGTGTCTTTTCCTCCTCCTATCCTGCTCCTCTCTTACCCTTTTGCAGGCTGTGGCACGGCCTAGACGGCAAGAAAGGCATGCAAGAACTGCACATGCGGGCGGCCGGGCGGAGATGGAGGCAGCTGAAGAGAGAATAGTATAGGCCCCCTGACCCTCCTTCTCACCTCCTCTCTAACCCTTCTGTAGGTTGTGGCGCCGCCAAGACTGCAAGGAAGGCGTGCAAGAACTGCACCTGCGGACGGGAGGAGATGGAGGTAGCTGAACACACTCTAGGCCCCTGTGTCTTACCCTCCTCCTATCCTGCTCCTCTCTAACCCTTCTGTAGGTTGTGGCACTGTCAAGACGGCAAGAAAGGCATGCAAGAACTGCACGTGCGGACGGGCTGAGGTGGTTACAGCTGAAGAGACTCCTCCCGATCTGGCTCCTCCCCTTTTCTTTATGCTCGTGTAGGATGTGGCACTGCCAAGACGGCAAGAAAGGCGTGCAAGAACTGCACGTGCGGACGGGCGGAGATGGAAGCGGCTGAAGTGGCGGGAGAGGGAGAGGGGGGGAAGGGGAAGAGCAAGCTGACCATCGACCAGATTGCTAACCCGGAGTCGGCATGTGGCAGTGTGAGTAGAGGTTTGAAAATAGGCCGCAAGGCATGGATTGCTATGGGTTGGTATGGGTTGCTATGGATTGCTATGGATTGCTATGGGTTGCTATGGGTTGCTATGGGTTGCTATGGGTTGCTATGGATTGCTATGGGTTGCTATGGATTGCTATGGGTGGCTATGGGTTGCTATGGATTGCTATGGATTGCTATGGGTTGCTATGGGTTGCTATGGGTTGCTATGGGTTACTATGGGTTGCTATGGGCTGCTATGGGTTGCTATGGGCTGCTATGGGCTGCTATGGGCTGCTATGGGTTGCTATGGGTTGCTATGGGTTGCTATGGGTTGCTATGGGTTGCTATGGGTTGCTATGGGTTGCTATGGGTTGCTATGGGTTGCTATGGGTTGCTATGGGTTGCTATGGGTTGCTATGGATTGCTATGGGTTGCTATGGGTTGCTATGGGTTGCTATGGGTTGCTATGGGTTGCTATGGGTTGCTATGGGTTGCTATGGGTTGCTAGGGATTGCTATGGGTTGCTATGGGTTGCTATGGATTGCTATGGGTTGCTATGGGTTGCTATGGGTTGCTATGGGTTGCTATTAGACATGGGCAGCATGCCGAGCCTGGCTCGACTCGGCTCGACTCGACTCGCCTTTTTGGCGAGTCGAGCCGGGATTTTTTATTGGCCGGCTCGACCCGAGTCGAGCCGGGTCGAGCCAGTCGAGCCGCGCGGCTCGGCTCGACTCGTCGCAAATTTCATGGCGAGCCAAAGTCGAGCCGGCTCGAATTTGGCTCGACTCCTGAAGAGCACGGCTTGCCAGCGGGGGGTCAAAATCCGTCCGCCCTGGAAGACGAAAATCCCTTTGGCGAGTCGAGCCGAGCCGAGCCAAGGTCGAGCCGACCCTTGGCTCGACCCTGAACCCACGAGTCGAGCCAACCATTTTGGGGCAGCCGGCTCGGGTCGAGTCGAGTCGGCTCGGCTCGACTTTTACCTGGCTCGAGGTCGAGTCGAGCCGAGTCGAGCCAGGCTCGGCATGCTGCCCATGTCTAGTTGCTATGGGTTGCTATGGGTTGCTATGGGTTGCTCAGGGTTGCTATGGGTTGCTATGGGTTGCTATGGGTTGCTATGGGTTGCTATGGGTTGCTTGCTATGGGCTGCTATGGGCTGCTATGGGCTGCTATGGGTTGCTATGGGTTGCTATGGGTTGCTATGGGTTGCTATGGGTTGCTATGGGTTGCTATGGATTGCTATGGGTTGCAATGGATTGCTATGGGTTGCTATGGGTTGCTATGGGTTGCTATGGGTTGCTATGGGTTGCTATGGGTTGCTATGGGTTGCTATGGGTTGCTATGGGTTGCTATGGGTTGCTATGGGTTGCTATGGGTTGCTATGGGTTGTTCTGGGTTGCTATGGGTTGCTATGGGTTGTTCTGGGTTGCTATGGGTTGTTCTGGGTTGCTATGGGTTGCTATGGGTTGCTATGGGTTGCTATGGGTTGCTATGGATTGCTATGGGTTGCAATGGGTTGCTATGGGTTGCTATGGGTTGCTATGGGTTGTAACGGGTTGCTATGGGTTGCTATGGGTTGCTATGGGCCGCTATGGGTTGCTATGGGTTGCTATGGGTTGCTATGGGTTGCTATGGGTTGCTATGGGTTGCTATGGGTTGCTATGGGTTGCTATGGGTTGCTATGGGTTGTTCTGGGTTGCTATGGGTTGCTTTGGGTTGCTATGGATTGCTATGGGTTGCTATGGGTTGCTATGGGCTGCTATGGATTGCTATGGGTTGCTATGGGCTGCTATGGGTTGCTATGGGTTGCTATGGGTTGCTATGGGTTGCTATGGGTTGCTATGGGCTGCTATGGGCTGCTATGGGCTGCTATGGGCTGCTATGGATTGCTGTGGGCTGCTATGGGTTGCTATGGATTGCTATGGGTTGCTATGGGTTGCTATGGGTTGCTATCGGTTGCTATAGGCTGCTATGGGTTGCTATGGGTTGCTATGGGTTGCTATGGGTTGCTATGGGTTGCTATGGGTTGCTATGGGTTGCTATGGGTTGCTATGGGTTACTATGGGCTGCTATGGGCTGCTATGGGCTGCTATGGGCTGCTTTGGGCTGCTATGGGTTGCTATGGGTTGCTATGGGTTGCTATGGGTTGCTATGGGTTGCTATGGGTTGCTATGGGTTGCTATGGGTTGCTATGGGCTGCTATGGATTGCTATGGGTTGCTATGGATTGCTATGGGCTGCTATGGGCTGCTATGGGCTGCTATGGATTGCTATGGGTTGCTATGGGTTGCTATGGGTTGCTATGGGTTGCTATGGGTTGCTATGGATTGCTATGGGTTGCTATGGATTGCTATGGGTTGTTATGGATTGCTATGGGTTGGTATGGATTGCTAAGGGTTGCTATGGGTTGCTATGGGTTGCTATGGGTTGCTATGGGTTGCTATGGGTTGCTATGGGTTGCTATGGATTGCTATGGGCTGCTATGGATTGCTATGGGTTGCTATGGGTTTCTATGGGCTGCTATGGGCTGCTATGGGCTGCTATGGGTTGCTATGGGTTGCTATGGGTTGCTATGGGTTGCCATGGGTTGCCATGGGTTGCTATGGGTTGCTATGGGTTGCTATGGGTTGCTATGGATTGCTATGGGTTGCTATGGATTGCTATGGGTTGCTATGGATTGCTATGGGTTGCAATGGATTGCTATGGCTTTCTATGGGGTGCTATGGGTTGCGATGGGTTGCTATGGGTTGCTATGGGTTGCGATGGGTTGCTATGGGTTTCTATGGGCTGCTATGGGTTGCTATGGGTTGCTATGGGTTGCTATGGGTCGCTATGGGTTGCTATGGGTTGCTATGGGTTGCTATGGGTTGCTATGGGCAGGAGAGGGAGAGAAGGGGAAGGAGAAGAGCAATTTGACTATCGACCATGTTGCTAACCCAGAGTCGGCATGTGGCAGCTTGAGTGGAGCAGTAGAAATGTACCGCTTTCTTAGCTGACAGTTCACCAGGCAGTGTGGATGTGGCTGGTGCACTTGGCTCGTTATTATGTGAGTCTTACTCGTGATGCTAGTGTTGCTCGTCTACCCAACTATGGATCAAATCGGCAACAGGTACCTGATGCAAGTCTTACCCAAGTAAGACCTCCCCTAGCTCCGCTTGTGGTAATGTGATTGTTCCAGTTAGGCCCCTTCTTTAAGTGCCTCAAGAATAGACTCCTGTTTTCATAGCTGACCCTTCGTGATGCCAGTCACTCGGATCCACATCCTCTGTCAGTGGTTGAGTACTCAAGTATTTGAGCTTTTCGTATGAGTATTACTTGTGGTGAGGGTGTTACGTTTTTATCAAATTGGACCCCCAGAGTTCACGTTTGTGGCAGTGTGAGTGTGGATTCCTGCCTGCTGTGCGCTTTGGCCAGCGCTTTCCCCCGTGCTGCGTTGATATCTCGCTGGTTGCAGTGTTAGGAATTCTCTCTCCCATGCTTTCCTGCCTTTAGTGTAGTTTGTGGGACGTTTTTTGCTGTGCCAGCTGCCCCTACCGCCAGCTGCCTGGATGGTTACAGTGTTACGATCTGCTTTGTTACACCCCGTTGTTTTCTTGTCTGCAGTGTGGTTTGGTTTGGGAGACGCCTTCCGCTGTGCCAGCTGCCCCTACCGTGGGCTGCCGTGATAATTACAGTGCAACAATCTTGCTGTTGCTCATGCGTTGCCCGCATACCCCTCACTGCAGTGCGGTCTGGGAGAGGCCTTCCGCTGCGCCGGCTGGCCGTACCGTGGGCTGCTTTGGTCATTACAGTGTGTCGATCTCGCTGTGTTGCTCATGCCTTGCCCGCATACCCCTCACTGCAGTGCGGACTTGGAGACGCCTTCCGCTGTGCCGGCTGCCCCTACCGCGGGTTGCCGCCATTCAGGCTGGGAGAGAAGGTGAGAGGGAGGTAGGGTTAGGGGCGAAGGGGGACAGGGAAATTGTGAAACGGGGGAGAGGGGGATGGGGGGAAGGAGAAACGAGTAGGCTGCCCCTATCGCAGGTTGCTGCCCTTCAGGCTTGGAGAAAAGGTGAGAGGCGGATTAGGGGCGGAAAAGGGAACATTGGGGCGATGGTGATGGGTGGGAGGAGTGGGGGGGAGGATCAGCGGAAGGAGAAGAGACCAGGCTGCACTTACCGCAGGGTGCATCTTTCCAGGGTGGGAGAAAAGGGGAGCAGCATATGAGGTGATGTATGTATGTCGGTGCTGTGTGGTATCGGAGGTGTGAGGTGAGGAAGAGTAAGTGTGCTGTGGCTGAGTGGTGGATTCGCCATAGGTTGTCCACCTTCCTGCTTTTCACATCAGTACTGCCGTCTCCACTGATGATGTCACTGATGATGTCACTGATGCTTATACTGACGGTAATATTGACGGTTGTATTTTCCTGCATTCCCCCAACCCAACAGTATTAATGTTAGTTCCCCTGCCGTGCTTTCCCATCTCTCCCACTTCTTTTCCTCCAGATTTCCCTTGACACGGCTCTTCTGTCTGCAGATGTCTGAGGTCCAACGCTTCGGTGGGGAGAATAACACCGGCCCACGTCTAAAGCAGCACCTAGCTTGTGGCATCAAGGTTTTCTTTCAATAAGAAGCATAGGCGGATGAGCTGCATGCTTGGTTGCACACATTGCAACATTCTTGATTGAAATTTGCCAGATTCTGAGAAGCTAAGTGTGCTGGACTGGGGAGGGGTGGTATCCCAGAAAGTTTCCAGGATACACAAGCAATCCAGACCTAGCACAAGCATGTACGATCCATCCCCTTGCAGCCCACTTACCTAGTATTGGGCTGACTGCAGCCCAGGGATCTTACACCTAGCATACTGTACGAGTGGGAGAGGAGAAGCTGACAAAATCACAACAAAAGCTGAACAGAGACCGTATGAACAGTGAAACTGAACGGCCCTCAGATCAGATGGTCGTCTTCATGTTGATGGTGCACTTCGTGCCTTCATGGTCATCCGATCTCCTCATTTCCTCCTCCCTCCCGCACTTCCTCCTCCCTCCCACACTTGCTCTTCCTTCTAATACCCTTTTCGTTGCTCCCTTCCTAGCCTTTCCTCCCGAAAGCTCAGATCAGATGGTCGTTATGTACAGTGTTGGCACATTTAGTGCCTGCATGGTCATCCGATGTCCACACTTCCTCCTCCCTCCCACACTTCCTCCTCCCTTCCGCCCTGCTTCCCTGCTCACTGCTCCCTCCAAACACCTTTCCTCCTCCCGCTCCATACTCCCTTGCTGTGCGTCCGAACAATACATTCACCATGTGAGCGGCCTTTGATCTTCATTCCCATACCCCCAGCTCCATAATCCCTTGCAGTACTTCTACACCCGTACAATGCCTTCACCTTCCATGCCCATCCTCATGCCCATAGATTCATCCCCACCTCATCATGCACCCGACTTCATACCAGTCAAAGTTCTCCGGGGGTCATTGAATTTACCATCCCACAACTGCCTAGACGCATTAAACTCCTTGGATCTC